ATGCTGTTCCCTCTGCCCCAGGCCTCCTTCAGATGAGCAGTCCTCAACAAGTCTGTTACCCTCCTCCTCAGTAACATTCTTTGGCTCCCTGTTTCCTGTCTTTTCAAATCCCAGTCTCTGATTGGCCTTCAAAAGTCCTCCACCATCTGCCTCCAAATAACAACAACACCATTAATAGTAGAAGAAGGGCGGGGGGATGTGGCTCAGTGGTGCCGCACCTCGCAAGTGCAAGGTCCTGAGTTTGATCCCAGTACAAAAAAAAAAAAAAAAAAAAAAAAAAAAAGAAGAAGAAGCTGCTTCCTTTTGTAATATCCTTATTGTGTAACAGAGACTTAGAAGCTAGGTCTGCAGATGCCCAATGGGTAACAGAAAGCAGAGCAAAGCTTGCCATCTCTGTCTTCATTTTTTAGTTTTTGTTTGTTTGTTTTGAGACAGGGTCTCACTATGTAGTTGAGACTGACCTGGAACTCACTTTGTAGCTCAGGTTGGTCTTGAACTTCACAGTGATCCTCCTGCCTCAGCCTCCTGAGTGCTGGGATTACAGGCATGTGCCACCACGCCCGGCTGTCTTCATTTTTTAAATCTCTCTCTTTTAGTCCCTTAAAATTTGGGGTAGGATCCTTGGCCAGTTCTACATGTAGGCACACTAATTACTTAAAGAGAGTCTGTTTAGTACAAGGATTATTAGTCTTAAATTTGCCTAGCCCAATCATCCTCCCTTAAGACTCCTTTAAGACATAAGAGTACAGTAAGTAATTTCAGGATTCTCAGGGACATCCAGTTGCCAACTCTTACAGCTTCTAGTCTAGGAGGGATGCCTAGAAGTCATAGCCCTAAACCTGCAGTCACCTTGGATTCCAAGAAAAGCAGAGCCTTGCAGATCATCCCATGATTAGGTTACCTTCCCAAGTGACAGTACAGAGTACTCGCCTCAGCAGAACATATACCAAGTGAGAGAGCATGGGAACTAGCAGAAAGAATCAACAAGTGGGATCTCATCTTATTAAAAAGCTTCTGCACTGCAAGAGAAACCACCAACAGAGCTAAGAGATAGCCTGCAATGTGAGAAAGCATTTTTACCAGCTGTTCCTCAGACAAAGGTCTACTATCCAGAATATATGAAGAACTCAAAAAAATCAGATCCCCCCCAACATAAAGACCCATTTAAAAAATGGGCATCTGAAATGAACAGACATTTTTCAAACAAAGAAGTAAAAGCAGCAAATAAACATATGAAAAAATGTTCATCATCACTGGTCATTTGAGAGATGCAGATGAAAACAACACTGAGATTCCACCTCACCCCAGAAAGAATGGCTGCTATTAAGAAATCAATCAATAACAAATGTCGGCGGGGTTGTGGGGAGAAAGGAACCCTTCTCCATTGTTGGTGGGAGTGCAGATTGGTGCAACCACTGTGGAAATCAATATGGAGATACCTTAAACAACTAGGATTAGAAGTCCCATTTGACCCAGCTGTTCCCCTGCTGGGTATCTTCCCAAAAGAAGTAAAAGAATCATATCACAGTGATATATGCTCACCCGTGTTTATAGTGGCACAGTTTGTAGTAGCTAAAACTGGAAACAGCCCAATTGCCCATTAATTGGAGACTGGATAAAGATGTGCTTTTTAAAAAAAAAAAAAATCAAATGGAGTACTACCCAGCCATAAAGAACGAGAAACTAGAGGCATTTATAGCTAAGCAGATGTACACTGAGGCCATACTCTTAAGAGAAATTAATAGTACACACATGTGTAAATACAAAATCATTTCTCTGGTGTGATAAACTAAAAATATAAATAAGGATCAAAATGTATAATTGCTATTGGGTAATAGGAAAAAAGGTCTAAAGGTGTAGGAGAGGTGGGAGAGTAGGGGAAAGAAGGGAAAAGAAAAAATATGACAAAAGGAAAAAATGCAAAGTCTTTGTAAATAGAGAAGGATGGAGGGGGTGAAGGGAGGGCAGGGGAATGGGAAGAAATAAGAACTAAGATCTGTCACGTAAAGGTACAAGATCTCAGTGATGAACGTAACTGTACTGTATACCTAAAATGGACCAATAAAGAAAAAAAATAGTACAAAAACGAAATCCAAGGTTGGAGTCAGTATCTAGAAGACAAGGTCTTGAACCTCTTTATATGTCACCGAGGCATGGCCATGCTCATTAAAGATCCTGTCCTGCCCTTCGCCTCTGTTTGTGAGCTTGATGGGCATTTTGGGACCAGTGGCCAAGCCTGGTCTATTGAGACCCTTGGAGTTGGGGTCTTTGTCAGAAACTGTGCCAAGCACTTAATAGCACTCGCTCGTTTAAAATTTCACAACCAGGGGTGAGATTCAATACATTCGATGACTGGTACAGCCCAGGATCCACCAGCCAGAGCAGACGGGGGCTGCCACACCGTGCTGGGATGCCAGCTCTGCTCGCAGCAATCCTGTAAGGATTGCTTTACAAACATGGAAGCCGAGGCTCAGAGGGGCGAAAGGTCTCTCCCAGGGTCACATCACACCACCGGAATTCAAACCCAATCACACCACCGGAATTCAAACCCACGAGCTGCTTATCCGGACCCGGGCCTCCTAAATATTCCCTGTGCAGCCCTTTCTCTGAAGATATCAGCCCTTTTGTGCAATTTCAACAGCCGCATCGTTAGTTCATTTACCTCTGCCATGATCATTGGCTGAGCTCCTATCTTGGGCTGTGCAAGATGTGGGGATCTCTACGCGGGCAGGAACTACGTCATCTCTGCTCTTGTGGCATCCCTAGTGCCTGGCATGTGAGCTGGCACAGAGTTGGTGTGCAGCAAGTGCCTGTTGCCTGGATGGGTCAACGTGAGGATGACCAAGGCGTGGGCTTCTTTGGAAGGGAAGGTGTGCCATTTCTTATGTAGGACTGGAAAAGTAAAGGAAGACCAGAGTTTTGTGTGGCATGGGGGAGCTCTGGCTTGTAGGGGAGTCGTTGGTTACCTGACCACCTGTTTATCCCAGCAGGATACCAGTCTCACTGCTGGAAAACAGGACGGAAGGCAGCCCCACTGAAAATTTGGCCTGGCATGCTGACTCCATCCGCCACCTGCCCCTGGATGCTTCTCCTTCTGATTCGCCAAATTCGCTCATCTCCAAGGGCAACTCCTTCATGCCTCTGGTCAGTCCATCAGCAATAGCACAGTGTCCGCTCTGGGCTGGGAAAGTGCCGGGGTCCTGCGGGAGGAGGTCAGTGGTACAAAGATCCAAGACACAGCCTCCTCCCTGCAGGACCAAGTCCAGGGGGTGGGAGACAGGAATACAGGGACAGTGATGATTTCACCGGCTCCATGGCCCAGGAGGGGTTAGTGGAGATGCTGGGGCAGGTGGGCTTCATGTGGTATCTAGGGGGGATGTGGAGGCTCTTGAAAATTCAATGGCTGATTCCATGTGGTTTTTTTTTTTTGGTGGTACCGGGGATTGAACTCGGGTCCTTGCACTTGCAAGGCAGGCCACCGAACCGCTGAGCTAAATCCCCGGCCCCTTGTTTAAGGTTCTACAATGTTGCAATGTTGTGCTGGTTAATGTTCAATACTCATCTAAGCCACCAGGCCAGACCTGTTTTCCTCCCTCTTTCTTTCCTTTGCTCTCTCTTTTGAAGGATCTTGCTATATAGTTCAAATTGGCCTTGAATTCATTATGTAAACCAGGCTGACTTCAAACTTGGAGAAATCCTCCTGCCTCACTCAGCCTCCCAAGTGCTGGGATTACAGGCACGTGCTACCACATCTGGCATTCAGACCTGGGTAACAACAATGTTCAGTGACCCTTTACCACCCATGGAGAGCAGGCTTTGGAGCCTAGGAACTCTGGGTCTAGTACCAGCTCTTGTGATACTGGGTACCGCCCCTCTCTGGGCCTCAGTTTCCATCTTGGCCCTGCAGGACTGTAAGGGTTAAATGGACAGCATGTGTCACCTTTCTTTTATAAACCAGCTTGCAGTCAAGGTTCCTTTTCCTGCTCAAAGATGTGTGAGAACCAGGTGACTCATGAAACCATGGACAGAACGGTACCAGGAAGGAGACAGAAACACACTGTAGTTGCTTCCTGTCACCTCCTTACCTAGTCCCCTGTGGCCCTGAATGAGAATGCCTCTAAGCTTAGCAGAAGAAGTTAGAATAGCTGTTTGGGTGAGATTTGTTTACTTGTTTTTACTCCGGGGAGCGAATCCAGGGCCTCACCCAAGCTGGGAAAGAACTCCTCTGAGAGTCACAGGGGAGTTTGTCCTCTCCTTCAGCAAGCCTCAGAGAGAACCCTAGGGTCAGCTCCTTGCAAGCTCTTCCCACCCCGCCACTCCAGGCTGCCCCCCACTGCCAGACCCCTCCCTGGAGCCACGGCTCCCTGGGAATCCCTTCTTTCTCTCCCAGCCATCCCCAGCACTGCGGGTGCAGGGAAGACTCCAGCCCGGCCCTGGATTCCACCACCTGCTTCCTGTGACCCTGGCAAATCAAGTCACCTCTCAGGGCCTGCGTTTCTGCCTCTGTGGCTGCCCCCCACTGCCAGACCCCTCCCTGGAGCCACGGCTCCCTGGGAATCCCTTCTTTCTCTTCCAGCCATCCCCAGCACTGCGGGTGCAGGGAAGACTCCAGCCCGGCCCTGGATTCCACCACCAGCTTCCTGTGACCCTGGCAAATCAAGTCACCTCTCTAAATGGGCACACACCAAGGTCAGAGGTCACTGGTGAGGACTTGCAGATACAACACGAAGAAGCTTCAAGGTCCTAGGCACAGGGGAGGCTGGGGAGGTTACCATCCTGGGGTACCAACGCCTCAAACTCCAGACTCTGGCCTCCCCTAGTCTCTCTGCAACCGCACACCCCCACCTCAGTGAGAGTTCCCAGCCGGCCACAGTCACACTGTCATCCCCCTGTGGGGCAGGAGAGGCAGGGCGGCCCGGAGAGCGCCAGGAGGGGACGGGGCTCGCTCTTGGCTCACCTGCGCGTCCTCCTCGGCCCCCCACCCTGGCGCCCGCCCTTACCGGAGAAGATCAGCCCGTCTCCGGTGAGCAGGGCTGCCCCCACCGGGAAATGGCTGTAGGGGCAGTAGGCGGACTTCTTGGCCTCTCGGGAGGACAGCAGCAGGCGCTGGACGTGCTCGGGCTCCAGAGCGCAGGTGCGACGATCCTGAGCCATGTCGTCCGGGCCGGGGAGCTGCAGAAACGGGAGCGCGAGCTGGCCCGGTGGCGGCCTGGGAGCCCGAACGGAAACGGTGGCTCCTCCCCTAGGGTGTGTCCCCTCCCCTAGGGTGTGTCCCCTCCCCTAGGGTGTGTCCCGCTCCAGGCCGAGCCCCAGGATCCCGGCCCCCGGTGGGATGCCCCGCCGACAGGGTGCGGAGAGGAGAGGAGAGGAGCGTCCCACACTTGGGGCCGGCGAGGGTAGCGGTGCTCACGGAAGCTGTGCCCACGTGCACTTCACACGCTCCCTGGGGACCGCGCTCACTGCCCACAATACCGTGGGTGAGGAGGGGCGAGGGGATCACAGCGCGGGGCTCGGTGGTCCAAGCCTCAGCGGTGGGTGAGCTCTCAGTTTCTTGAATGACTTCTTCCCTCATTCATTCGAGGGACTAGGCCGTGTGAGGTCCTGAGTCAGAAAGAATGAAAAGCAGCAGAAACAGGGAAGTGTCCCATTCACCTTCAACTCTTCTGCAACCCAGATTTAAAAAGTATCTCAG